TTCTCATATCTTCATAATGATAGTCATAAAATCCGATAAAATTTTTCAAAGAATCTGAAACAATATAACTTCACGAACAGCTTAATAATCTTCACCACCGGGTTTTTGTTTAAGTATAATAAGAATTCTTTATTCTAGAGCCTTCTCATAACTCCCAGAAATGGGATTCTTATCTGCTTTAATTTCGTGATGTTGGATTTATAAGGAAATAACATTCAACCCTGCGGCTAAAACTTAATACCAGCCAACCTTTACTGTGGTCTTTGATGCCGAGAAGAAAATTTTAAATTGCACTTCAGTCCGGTTCGGCGTGGTTTTAACAAAAAAGAAAAATTATATTTTCAAGGGTTAATAATTTTATTTCTTTGACAAAACAAACGAGTATTCAAATATATATTTGTTTCCATTCCATTTAATTTAGTAATGGAAAGTAATCTCCTCGTTAAAATAATGGGGCCCCAGTGATACAAAGACAAAAAAATATTACAATTTCATTTAATTTAAAAAAAATCAAAAACGAAGAATCACTAAAATGAAGAATTAGTTTTAAAAACAATTAAAGAAAATTAACGAAAATTCAAGAATAAATTAAGTTATCTAATGCTAAAAACAATATTTTTCTGTGACAAAACTACTTAGCTCGCGCCTCTTGTCCCGCAACTTAAAAATTAAAATCTATCAAACCATTGTCTTAACTCTAGGTAAGACAATGGTTTGATAAATTGCGAAACGTGGCGATAGATTATGGTTGCGAAACGTGGCCGCTTACATTAAGGAGGAGCAACGTCTTAAGGTTTTTGAAAATAAATTATTGCTTAGAATATTCGGACCGAAAAAGGATGAATTAACCGGAGAATTCAGATGGTTACACAACGCCGAATTGCGTGAACTAGATCCGGGTAATATAATTGAGGTGATTTCATCCCGGCGAATCAAATGGGCCTGTACAATGATCGGGCTTAGTGACGAGAGAATATCTATAAGGTTAATATTTGCTACCGAATGGTAAACGTATGAGGGGTAGACCGAAGCGAAGGTGGGAAGATTACATTAAAGCCGATTTGAAGGGACTAGGTTTGGACGGCGAACGATGAAGGAAGGTGTGTAATAAGCAGTTGGGGGTGTCGGCATCGAATTTTCGGGTTCGCTATGCCTTTTGTTATTAATATTATTATAATGCTAAAAACAAATAACACTTTGGCAACAAGTAACTGCTAAGCACTTCATATCTATTCTCATAAAATGTTATTGCCAGGATAAAACCAAACCATTATTTATAACAAGTATTTAAAATTAGTTGCTAAGCATTATTAATAAAAAGGTCCATCTTTCATAACTTTGGAAATATAAAATAAAACATGAATTTTCTTAATGCTATTCTAAACTGATCCGTTATAGACACCCACTTTCACTACGTTAAATTTAAGGACATAAATACGCAACTAATCTGATAGATTAGAGATATTCAGATGACAACATCGAAACCGGAATAAATTTGAATAATTTTCCTCCGCTAACGGTAATTAGAAAACTCAGACCAATTAAAATACATGAACATTGATATCTATCTCGAGCATTAGCATTTTTAATCTCCAATCTTTAATTAATTGCATGAAGATAGTCAAAAGGTTAAACCAAAATGGCTTTACTCAGAACAGTGGTCAGGAATCTTTTTGAATTACACGTTACCAATGAAAAATAATTAATAATAAATAACAATTTACGATCTAATATTATTATGCTTCAGATTTTAAAAGTAACTACATAAAAAAACAACTAAGGAGTGTGCTTTAAACCACACGATAGAAGTGAAAACATAAACACGGCGAGATTAACAATATGAAATAAAAATTATAAATAATAGCTATACATTTTCTTCGCTTGCAATATATAGGCTCGATATTTAGTATCTGAGACATATATTCCTGTAGTATATTATTACATATGTATTGTAGTAAGGGTTTATTTTAATTAGTTTAATTTCGTTTAGTAGGAAATTTTTAAAATTAATAACAAAGTTCTATTACATAAAATATAGGCATGAAAGCAAGGTCAATCTAAAATTATCCCTAATGATTAATAATTTATTTATTTAAAATGGTGATACTTACTAGTTCATGTTGTATCCAAGGACTGCATAACATTTATGTAGAAGTCTCCAGTTGGAAGGTTGTGTAATGTTATATTATTATATATAGTGTTGCCCAAATGGGAGACCGAGACCAGTCTTGGTCTTCGAAACTCAGTCTTCAACATGGTCTTGGTCTTGCACAAAAGTCTCGCAACAGTCTTGCCGTTACTTATTAGCTTATTACTATAGAGATATTACTTTAATTCTTTAGATAGGAGAAACTTAACTAAGCCCGAATGAAAAATTAGAGGAGTTATATGCAAAAGTATATTGGTTGGACCAATTATTTACATATAATAACTATGAATGTCAAGTATTAGTAACTACTTTCTCTTATTTTTTGTTTTTAAAAATCGATTTGTTTTACCAGTCCTGGTCTTGGTCTTGCAAAGTGCAAGACCAAGACCGATTTTGGGCCACATTAATTATATATTTTCCATTATGCCTAAGAATTTGTACTATTATTATGATTTCTATTATTTCTCTTCTTATTTGTATATATAGTTAATAATGTTGTCAAAATAAAATTTCAATGTTGTAATAATATTAGCATAAACTCTTAATCATCTGGTTTTGAACACTATATTTTTCCCTCCAACTCCCTATCACGGTTTTGGGTCAAGATTATATTTTGAGTAATAGCTCATTACAAAGAATATGAAATGCTGAACATTTCCCTCGCTTACAGTAAACAGATCTCATTTTTAGTGTCTAAAATATCTAAATCCATATGTTAAACTAAGATCATTATCATTTGGTTATCAACACTATTTTTTTCCTTTTCACTTTCCTAACATGCGTTATAGATACAATTTTGAATTATAGCGTATTACATAAAGGATAAAATGCTGAATAATTTCCTCGCTTACAGTGCATGCAGGCTCTATTTTTAGTTTCTGAGATATTTTAATCCATATGTAAAAACATTTCAATTAATCGACTCTAACCGATATTATCCGAGCGTTAACACCGTGAGAAATCTGACGAATCAATCTAATTCACTCTCTCTAAAAAAAAAGTGCAAAACGCGCCTAAAGAAGATTTCACTTTAAAAAAAGTAGTAATGAAGTTTCGTTTGCGTAGGTTTCGTATTATATAAGAATTAGTTTCAACAAATGTGAATTTAAAAAAATTAATAACTTTTTTCTTTATTTGTTCATAATTCGAACTTTAGGCAAATATTTAAGGCGATCAAAATTTAAATGTTTCAAATCTATAAAATTAATAAACTGTAAGATAGTTAACTAAACGGAGTTTAAATTGGTTATCAGTTTAAGTCAAGCGTGTTTAGACCAGTTATCCTTGAGGCCAGAGGCTGTAGTATCTTAATGGTAAGACCAGCTTAGTACAGATTAATAATTATGAATGGGTTCCATGACTAAACAATGACCAGTCACTACTAGCAGCTCTAACTTTCATTCACAAATTAACTACCTGTAATTGATTAATATTCGTATATTTAGTATACATTATTATCTGTGAGTGTATTATGTTATTCTATAAGTATTTATTATTAAAAGAGTTTGAAGTTATGTTTTTTAATCAGGCAGTTTAACACATATCAACTAAGCTATCTTATCGTAAAAAAATACACATTCAGTACATTTAATTATTTATTTATAAATCAATTTCCTCTTTTTAAAAATTAAATTTTTTTTTATTAACGAAATTTACAACTGTAATTAATAATAAATACAACAAGTAAATATGAACAAGTAATATGACATGTACAACATGAGGAGAAACTACCCATTGGTAGCACTCCAATTATATTTCTATATTAGAAGGTCCCGAGGCCATCTTCTTTTTAGACGCCTCGGAGGGTTATCAGGAATAGAAGAGGAAGCAAGGTTGGAAACGAGAGGGTTCGGATGGTTCAGAAGTTTATTATGAAAGGACAGGTATCTGGATTGAGCTAAGTCGGAAACATATGGTACATTAAGGTCATTATGGATGATTTTATTTGTGACAAAGTAGGGAGCATTAAGGATTTTACGAAGGATTTTGGATTGTAGGGATTGGAAACGAGAGGAATTTGATGGTTTAGTAGAGCCCCAAAGCTCGATCCCGTAAGTCCAAATAGGCCTTATTATAGTAATATATATGAGTCTTTTGTAAATAGTTGGTGGTTTAGAGCGTTTGTCTAGTAAGTGTTGGAGTAGTCGGAAACGTCGGGCGGTTTCTAGTCGTTTCAGTCTGGTATGGGGGTTCCAAGTGAGTCGTTTGTCAAGGTGGAGTTCTAGGTATCGGATTTGGTCAACAGGGATAAGTGGGGTATTGTTAAAGGATACTGTAGGACAGGAAGTCATAAAAATTAAATTAAATTTTTATATTTATATATATATATATATATATATATTTCTACCCCCCAGGAATTTATTTACTATACAAAATACAATATATAAATACATAAAGAAATATGTATATATAGAAATTTCTAATTTCCTTTTATTGCCCAAGGGTATTTTAAGGTAAAAGGGCTATGCACGCTGAATGCGTACTTTGCATCTGTGGCCAGAGGGCTTTTATTATACCACTGGGCGTGGAGGGACCGATCTAAATTTATATCATATTATTTTAAACTATAAATCCACGGTGAAAAAAAAAATATTTTGAGGGAAAAAGAAAAAAAATCCAGTTAATTATGAAACAATTATTATATTTAGTTGAAAATGTGTCTTAAACGGTATTTTGGTAAAAATATAATATAATAAATATCGTAAGCCAGAAATATATTTTTACTATATCCACTTCGAGATGCCAAGAAGGCCATAGCAACAGTAGGGCGCTCGGTAGACATTGAAAATTGATCCAGACATTGGGCATTTTCAGGTCATTTCCGCCGGAGAGGAGGCGACAAAAGAACTCGATGGTACTTCCAAAAACCGAGGAGCCCGATGATGTGATGGGAAAATACCTGGAAGATGTGTCAAAGCAGAGATCCTATCGGGAGGAAATGAAAACTTGCACGAAAAAAGAGGGTGGCATGCTACAACTACACGACACGAAACTAATGGACAGCCGCCATAATGTTCCTCACAGCTTTTTCGCAACCTGATTTAAGAAAAAATTATAATCATATATATATATAAAACTAAAACCATTCCGAATGAATTTACAAGTAATTTATTAATGAAATAAATTTATAATTATATTCGGGTAATAAGTAGTGATAAATGATTTAATAATATAAGTCCTTCAGGTTATTTACAATATGTTACTACAAACAAAAGAATACTTATTAGTTCATTAATAGATTTAAAATTAACATGCATTTATCTATTTAATTCATCGCATTATCATTCTATAATCATATAACTTCTTCTTAATCGGTGATTTTTAAAACATTGTCATTTTGAAATACATTGAAAATTAGTCGTTTTTTATTTAAAACAAAATAAATTTAGGATTTATATGAGTATATTAATATTTACGATAAAATATTAAGTATTTATAAGTTGAGATATCGTAAACGAGAAATAATTTGTGAAATGTTTTTTACTATGTATTATATGTAGATAGAGAGACTGGAGCGGTAAGACTGTTTTATCTAATATATATACATCATTTACTAATAAAACTATCAACACAGAAGTGAAACTATTTTAAGTGAAATGCCACTAAACTAAACTAAATATAATTGTCAAAATCATATTAATTCAATTTACATGCATATGAACGTATACATATACAAATAAAAGTATTTATGTATATATTACACGACTTATAATCAATAAGTATTATATAAATATATATATATTATATATATATATATATATATATATATATATATTTTTTTTTTTTTTTTTTTTTTTTTTTTTCTGTTGGCTCTACAGACCTTGTAGATCTTTGGCCGCCTAAACCAGCCTTCTCCACCTCTGCCTATCTTAGGCTACTGCTTTCCAGTTTGCGGCATGAAGCTCAGCCATATCTTTGTTTATCCTATCTATCCATCTGGTTTTTGGCATCCCACTTGTTCTCTTGTCTACTACTCTGGCATTCATTCTTGTGTAAAGGCGTCCTGATGGATTGCTACTACCAACATGCCCCACCCATCTTAATCTCATTGTCTCCATATTATGAGATATTGACTGACCCGTTTTTTTCAGCAGTTCTTTATTGTTCCTTCTCCTCCACGTGTCAAAGTTCTGGTCCCATATAGGTTCTGTTATCTTACGGAGAACTTTTATTTCAAGCTCTCAACTCTGGCTTCTAGTGTGTCGGTTAGAGCTTAGATATCACAACCGTAGAGCAGAACTGGCTTAATCACGGTGTTGTAAAATTTATAATATTTTCACTATTCCTTATATTTTACTTCGTTTTCTATTTCATAATAATTATAATTATAACACAATATAATATAAACAGTGTGGATTGTTAAGGTATTTTAACTTTTACTGAGAATAAATTAGTATTCAACCAAGTCGGTTAAAAAACCAAAGGGATGTGCTAATATTGTCCACCAATGCAGATGAATAATTTGAAAATAATACTAAAGCAAAACATAAGATCATTGGCAGTGAATAATCAAACTATTTCTGATAAAAAATTCTTATTTTTTCAATTTACAATAAATCTTCATTCCAGTAAGGGCGGTAAGTTAGCTGCTATATTAGGAGAGAGACGATAAATAATGAAAGGAAAACATAGGCCTGGCGGTCTGCAAACACCTTCTGAATTTAAATTCGCTGAATATGGTAGAGGAAAAGAGGCTATAGCCAAGGATTACCTGAGGAGATTGGCTCCGGTGGACTAAGCAGTATGAGCCGGGGAGGGGAGAGGGGGCATGGTGCAGAGCCCACGGTGAGGGGGGCCGGGGAAAGCGGACGTGCCCGGGGTCACAACTCCAGCAACAGGCCTTCCACCAGCGGCTTCCTTTGTCGCCCTCCCTGTTTACACACTCCACTCCGGATTATTTCAATGGGGAGGGGGACTCCTCCCAGTTAAGGAAGGGTCTTTCCCCATTCCGAGGGAACCGTCCAATAGAAGCTTTCGAATCGAAACTTCTCCAAATACTAAGTAAATTTACCAATGCCGAGTCCGTAAAAAAGAGCGAAATATTCTTAGCACTCCAGATCTGACGTATTGGTAGTTGCAAAGTTCTTTTTATCCACGAGTAATCAACTTGTAAGTGAATTGCGAAATACATTTATTTAATTAATACTAGTATACGCATCAGATAATTAACGCATCAGACTTGCAAACCTTCTCTCGCAAGCGCTGAAGAACCACTCTTGAATAATATTTATCACATGGTCAATTAAAATGTTTGTTTAGAACTATATTTCTAAACGATTTTTTCAAACTAATTTGGAATTCCAATTGCATGGAATACTCTTTACTTTGGAATACTTCTGAATATATCAGTATCCTTGGGAAACGAGAAATAAAGAGTTACTAATTTCGTCTTTTTTTTCTCGCCTCTACCCTAATGGGTACACACACACACACTTATTACACACCTCCCTCCACCGTTCGCAGTCCAAACCCAGTCCCTTCAGCTCGGCTTTAATGTAATCCTCCCACCGTCGCTTCGGCCTACCCCTCGGACTCTTACCATTCGGCACAGCAAATATTAATCTTTTAGGAATTCTCTCGTTACTAAGTCCAACAACTTTACAAGCCCATTTGATTCGCCGCGATGAAATTATCTCAGTTATATTACTCGGATACAGTTCACGCGATTCGGCGTTGTGTAACCGTCTGAACTCTCCGGTTAACTCATCCTTCTTCGGTCCGAATATTCTACGCAATACTTTATTTTCAAAAACCTTAAGACGCTGCTCATCCCTTAATGTAAGCGGCCAAGTTTCGCACCCTTAAAGAGGCAAGATAATTGTTTTATAGATTCTAATTTTTAAGTTTCGGGACAAGAGGCGCGAACTAAGTAGTTTTGTCACAGAAAAATAACAAGCATTTTCCGCCTTCAGTCTAACCTTAATTTCTTCTTCAATTTTCGGTTTTTCTATTTATCGTAGAACCTAGATATCTAAACTTATCTACCTGTTCAAACATATTACCATCTATATCGATATCACCAGTAGTATCGCCATTTTTGCAGCTAACCATATATTTTGTTTTATCCACGTTTATTTCGAGTCCTAGTTCTTTACCGGCAATAAACTATTAATATATATATATATATATATATATATATATATATATATATAAAGCTACCAAGTAGCTTAATATATGTGCTGGTGGACGTTGCTGAGACTGTCGGCGTGTCCCTGCCCTGGCCTTAGGTATCGATGCTCTATTTTAAAACTTAGAAGAGGATTCCATTGTTAATTTATAAAAAAAAAAACCGGGATCGAAACGTCGAATAAACACAGAAGCAATGGATATTTAGTAGTTTATTGAATAATTAATAAGTGATCTTATTCCTAATTGAATAATTATGTTATATATATATATATATATATATATATATATATAAAATGATTTTTTTTATTTTATATTTCAAGGAGCTAAATAATTACAGATACTCACGTCTAGAACAGCCCCGGTGATAGTGTAATTTCTGAAGGGTGGAGTCCGGCCCTTCACGTACTGGAACAGCTTTTTGCTCCCTTTGAGCCATTCCACTTTGTGAAGTTCTTCTGAGGGCACGTTGTACTCGCACTTGAGTATAACGTGCCCTCCAACATCGGCGTATCGAGGCACTTGTAGTTCCACGTGGAAGCAAGAAGCACCTGAAATATTAATGATAGCTGTTTATAATAGCGGAAAAAAACATTCCATGTATATCAAAATAAATAATACGTAAATTTATAAACATATCTGCTTGTGTGGTATACACGTTCTATTTTTAATCATAAAACGTAAGACGTAAAATTAAAGCCATTCAAGTGATATCTTGATAAATATTGAATAATGATTCATTATATGATTTATTAATAATTGTTTTTTATTAAACAATAATATTATCTGTAACATCTAAAAGCAATAATGGTACTAATTCGTTCAAAAAATACAAAAAAAAAAAAAAATAGCGATATATAAATAATTAAGAAGAAAACAAAAATATAATTATAGAAAATAATAAGACGTATAATTAATAATAAAGAAAAAATAATGCTAAAAAGTAAAATAATATATGAACTTCCCATGTTAAAGGATAAATTGAATTATTATAGCAAAATCGGTTCATAACAAAGAGTGAATCGCAACTGAATAGAAATTTTTAAAAAGAAGTCAGAAAAAACTCATTTATACCTATATTGCATAAGTTTCACAGGTTATGGCCCATTAAAGAGAGGAAGAAATCACTTTTTGATAATAACGATTTAGATTAAACCAGGCTTGAAATAATGACTTTTGTAAATCTAAGCAAAAGTCTAGCACCTCTCTTATATTTTCTTTAATTTCCATTTATTATAGTAATGATAATTTTTTTGTTAAGAGTTCGTTCAACTAGAATTAATGTAATTATCATATAATAATATAATTTGCGTTATATAAATTCCTAGTCCTTAATTAACATGCGACAGTTATATTTTCTATTATATGGTCTTGAAATTCTCGTTACAAATATTTGAATTTTAAGGATATCTATATCTTCATAATGATTTCCACGATTTTTTATTTATTAGTTGATTGTGCTGACCCTTTCTATTTTTTGTGTGTGTGTGTGTTGAAATCAAAAATTAAAATTAAAGCTAGTATTTAATAACCAAACACTGGCCAGATTCTCCACTCAAGACATGAGTGTATGTAACTAAATCGCTCTCGATCAATCTCTACTGGCTTTAGCACTAGTGACGCGGTTGAGAGAGTAACGCTGGGATCTCTTGGAGTCCAGCTTTTCCCTCTATAGTTGGAAGGGCAAGCCTGGCTTGGTGTTCCCTATTTGATTGTATATAGGTTTGACTAAGTTTTTATGTTTTTAATTTACTTATCTTTAGGTTATTTAATTTTTTTATTTTACATAGTTGTATGATTATTATTTAGTTATTATTTTACTTCTGTTAATTTATGTTTTCCGTATATATTGTGTGAATGTGTTCATATATCACTATAATTATTGTCCACGTGACAGATTATTATATTTCTAAATTATTAAAAAAATGTTTGCATTTTTTTAGGTCACTGACTTCTTAATTTTGACATTAATTTCAGTAATCAAATTCTTTACTTTTGGTATTTTTTATGTTCTCGCGGAGTTTTGACATTTTAACTCTTAGTATGAACAATATTGTAACTATTTTTTTTTCGATATTACATTTTGAAACGATAGTAGTCTTATCTACTTCGTAATAATTCAAAACAATGGTGTGCCACAAAATAGAGTCGGACGTATCATTGTTATAGATTAATATTTTTCGAAAAATCGATGTTTGCGGAGTATAATAGATAAACGTTTATGTTTAAAAAGTTTATTTTTGCAATTTGTTCTCCTTAAAAAACTATGAATAACAAACTTAAACAAACTGCTATATAAAATTTATATTTTTGATATAATAACTATAATAATTATTAATATAGTATATTAATAATATGCCATATTTAAGGCCAATTAATAATAATAAAATGTATTAATATCAAATTAATATTTTTTTTTCCTACCCTCCAGGAATTTCTCGATTACAAATACAATATATATATATATATGTTATATATACATAAATTTTTCAATTTCCTTTTATTGCCCAAGGGCATTTTAAGGTAAGAGGGCTCTGCACGCTGTATGCATTCTTTGCATCTGTGACCAGAGGCCTTTTATTATATCACTGGGCGTGGAGGGACCACCCTGTAAATTAATAAATAACAACACTTATATCGATATATTTATGTTAGATACATATTACTGCAGTGGGAAGCCTACTTCAATCTCAGAGTATCAACATCATTACGAGGTCTTCGATTTTGTAACTGGACCTCGTTTTTATAATTTTATTTTATGAACTGAGAAACGAAATGGAAGAGAAATATTAGGAAAACATAGGAGAAGGAATCAAAACTACAAGAAGAGAAATGAAGAATAAGGACTGAAGCATTCAGAATTGATGAATTCGAAGTAGATATAACCCTGAGAAAATGGACATCTCCCAAACTTAAATTGGGCACATTCCGACATGCTAATTCAATTCCAAGTTGCCTCAATCAGAGAATTCAGACAAACCAATCTAAAATTGACCAACACAGCGAAACTTTTATTGAAAAGTAGAATGATCTATTGGTCTTTTAATAGTCATTCAGGTTATCGTTCTTATTCCATTTTACACGACTGTTTCGAATTAAAAACAAAACTGTGTTACAAAGTAGAAAGGCAATTTACCACGAGTGTATCGTATACATATAAATGTGCATATTTATACTTATATAGATGGCCTCGTATATTTTCTTGTAAGCTATTTTTTCACCGTAATATTCAGATTTAAATATACAATAACTTAGAATATAAATAAATAAATATATATATATATATATAATATATATTATTTATTATTTATATTTTGACAGGAGCATCCCAGTATGACAGTTCATTGGCTTAAAAGTTGATGAAAGTTATATGCTAAGCCACAGAGGAACCAGATTAATTTTTATTCAAATAGCAAAACATTTATAATATTAATAATACCAAACCTTACTTTATTACTATATTGTTTTATTATAATATTAATATTGAGTGTAATATTATTATGAAAAAAATAAATAAATACGAGTTTTGAGTACATCGATATCCATATTATAATGTGAAAATATGACATTAAACAGGCAAATAGCCTCACAAAAAATACGATAACGGAAACGAATAAAAAAGTAATGGGAAATGGAAAGAAAAACGTATTTATTAGAAGAAAAAAAAAGTCATAACCCAACAGCAACGCCTTGAATACAGAATGGATTCAATATCACAAACCGAAGAGACTCCCTATACGTTCTCTGGATCGGAGAATTGATTATTTATGATAAAATTTATGCAACCACAAAGAAACAATGAT